TAATTTTATCGTCTAATTTTTTTAAGGTATAGCTACATCATAAACCATTTTAAGATAACCTTTTATATGTAAACAAACGTGTTTTTGGTTGGTAGTAGTTTTAAATTTTTTGGTTATATTAAAACATTTTAGTAACATATGGAAGAACCAATTGTATAATCTAACGACCAAATGGTAATAATATTTTCTTTGTCCAACATAAAATTCTACCAAGACTGCATGAAAAGTGTTAACATTTTTAATTTGCGGTTATTTTTTTTTACCCAAACAACTGTTTGTCTTTGTTTCTAAATTGCTCTTTTAAACTTTTCCCCTAATTGAGTTAAAGTTTTTCTGTTTGACCTTGGCTTCCTCACTCTCCCTCTCTCAGCGACAGTCCTGAAGGTGAATACTAACCGCACTTGAAGCACATCTTGTGCCACTTGAGTCCTCCCGCGACGCGCTCTTCCGCCGCGTACACGGACTTGCCGCACTTCGGGCATTTCGGGTTGTCTGCAGGTTTGAAAGGCATTGTGCTCGCTTAACTTATCCTGAAAAAAATTAACATTCACATAAGTTGCTTGTTTTTTAATTATATTTTTGTTAATCGCATTCTTCACATTCAAAATGTTTATTTTAAAGTAATTATTCCACGGTGCAATGGAATGAATTCAGTAGCAAGTACACCAAAACTTTTGCACACATGTGCAGGCGACTTAAAAGCCGGCACCGATATCAAAGGTCGCGATAGTAAATTAAAACTATACCACATTTTATGACCTATTATAAACTAATCACCCCTACATTCACTGTTTTATAAACGTAACACAAAAGCCGATGTTTTCATAGAAATGTCTGACATAATACGTTCTATTTAACGCATCATTCTTTGGCCGGCATCCAAGTCGCCTGCAACACTTTCATTGCATCCGAACTGACACTATATCTCTACGAGCACATGTTACTGACGTCGTACTGGGACCGCTGACTCCTTCCGAATGCTACGAGAATTTCGAAAGGTTACCGCTTAGGGCGGTCGGCGCGTGGGCAGCGCCCGGGCGCGCCTAATTTGGGCCGTCCAGGTAAAGTTACACTACTGGAACCGGATTGCACTTCTATAAATAGACCGCATTAGGAAGAAGCCATGGAATCACACACGATTTTGTTATGATAGAGGAATTGATATCACTTTCACCACCTGTTCGTTGAGTCGGTACGAGAGTCGTGCTCCCGGACGCGTTTACAGTGCAGGGCGTTGGTGCCTAGACTGCGGTGCGCGGAGGTCGAATGATGCGCGAGGGCAGCGCGCCGCCGTAGTCTATACACGCGTTGCACACGGCCCCAGTGGAGGGGAGCGCGCCCTCGCGCCCTCGCGCCCCCTACGCCTTCGGCAGCTACCCGGCTCCGGCACCTCCAAACCTCAGGACCCACGCCTCGTCCACGCCTTCGCTTCCGACTTCCATACTCTGACTGGAGTCTGAAATCAGGTATACCTCATATCAGATATCTTTTGCACGTTTTTAACTGGATTTTTTTTATTAGACTCTAATAAATCTTCACATGTACATATGTATATGCCCTTATTACAAGTTCAATTTTTAAATACTAATATTCGATAGTCTACAGCGTAAACTACATAACAAATAACAATGTAGGCTAACGACGACGCTAAATTAATTAACGTGAAAGCTTTATTGTTTTTGTCTATGGATACTGATCGTATGGTGATTTTGGTAATAAACAAAATGTAAGAATCAAACATTTTTAAACTGCTGAAGTCATAGCGTAAACATCGGGTTTATGACATACAAGTGATATTTTATAATACACGAAATAAACATTTTGGAATCCACGAATTTTCGCGTGAAATGTACAATTTGTCTCGTATACTTGCCCTTGTCCTACGGTGGGTCGGCACAGAATGCGCTGTACCTCCATACATCTTTGTCAACGGTCATATCTGAATTCGCTTCCTTCTTAAGCATAACTTCTTTCACACAATACATCCATACTTTCTTCTTTACGATCTTATCCTATTCCTAGCCACATATTGTTGTCTATTGTTCAAAATAATTACGTTTTGATATAGGACATAGGATGCATGCTTGTCTTCAGTAAATCATGCAAATAAATAAACTCATCATCATCAAATATTGGCATCTGTTCGACATTACTGACATAATAAATTAACGTATTTGTACGCGATATTAGGTGTGTAATGAGCCATTGACGCAATTTATTAAGGTGTTTTCTATCAGATATATTAAAAATAGGAATGTACGGCAATAAGTCATTGCTATAATTTGTATTTGCATTTTGCTAAAAGTAAAAGGAACAAAATATATCTTCTATTTACCGAATTTATCCTAATAGACCAGAACTTAGTATCTTATCTGACACTCGATGTCAAGTTGAACGATTTTTACTAGGGTAATTTCTTATCCACGAAGTTATATTTCTATCGTGATCATAGCTCTATTAGGTATTCAAATGTTCATACACGTTAATTTCTATGTAGATATTCTGTAGACTGTATGAGCCTCAGTGGTTTTTTCTTGTGTTCGAATCCCGCAATGTGCCAATGTGATGTCAGTTTTCTAATTTCATATGTACATAATTTACCCGACGTTTCTCACAGTGAAGGACAACTTGATGCAACCTGCACATATCGACGAATAAATTTTAAAACATGTGTGGAGTCATCCAAACCGCAGTGGACCAGCGTAGTTGGCTATTGCCTAGTACCCTTAACTTAGGGTAGACTCCGAGCCCCTCAGTGGGACGTAAAATGAGCTGGTGATGATGATCCTGTAGCCTAAATTTATTTACTTGCAAAAATGCCTTAATGAAACCTCACAAAAATTTCCTTAAGTAAATATATCAATCGTTATAGCACAAAACATTCCAAGTTTTGAATATGATGGACTGTTGTCAAACTAATGAGTCATGTGCCGGTTTCAGACAACTTTGAGTCAGATTTTTGGCAATGAGTTTCGACCATAATAGCCCGCCGGCAATGACCAATGGTCCGAACGAAGACAAATACATTGTTGTGATGGTAATATAGACTGTACTGACTGATGATTCGTCCCCCGGTGACGCTTAGGGCATGCACTCATCGGTACAAAAATAAACAACAAATTATAGTATGCTCCTACGTACACAATTAGTCCAGGAGCCTGTCACATCATATCTGCGTGTCTGCCAACTTCACCGCACCTGCCTATCTATTAATATTTTTATTTTAAAAATAAGCCCCCGTGTGCATTCTGCAGAGCACGTTTGTTTTACACGGTTGGGAAAATATCTGGTGTCGATAACGTAGCCGCTATGAGTCTGGCAAATTGGATTAAAGGTTAGATGTACTCTCGATTCAACGAATTCTGCAAAGATCCATTGTCACAAACTTGTAAATTAACTTTTATTACTATTCCATGCGTACGCATAAAATATTACCCTAATCCTATTTTTCATGCACGTATCACTGTTGTAAAAAACATTAAAGATATACAGGTACAAATGCGGTTATTAATTTAGATGTCAACAAATAATAATTAGAGGCGTTGCTACAAGACGTGTACAAGCCATTACAATTCATTGTTCGGTAACAGAAGTATTAATCACAATTATCATTACAATAGCATGTATAACTCTTACACCTGACAAATAACTGAACCATCGCATTTTGCATACATAATGGCAATTTACGTTTGACATTGCATTTTTAACACAAGGAGTAAATAACGATAATCGTAGTACGTAAATAACAAAAGGTAGAACCAAACTTAATATGACCATAAACTGTTGACTAATAAGGCAATGTCATAATTATGTCACCAGGTCATGTATACGCAGTCGCCTTATAAGTCTCTGTTGTGACTAATTCCAGACTTCGTATGATGCCCTTGAATGTACTAAGATGTACTCGCAGAGTGTGTTCGATGCTTACGCACGAGTAATCGTGCTAATATTACCAAACGTTTTATAAAAGCAGTTATCGCATACATTCTAGTCATATTTTTAAATAGAGTATAGCTATTTGTAAAAAAGGTTTACTGGTTGAAAAGTGCAGTGTATATAGCCGGGAATTGTCTGCAGAGTAGACGAGAAGGATGTCGGTCAGAAATCGATTTTGATGATCAACTTTTTTTTACTTCTTTGTAAGATGAAAGTCAAAGGAAGAGTGGCTTGGCAATCTCAAAACCTGTTTACGATATCAAACATATCGTATTTATAGCCTCTATTTTGATATATGACGTATCTGTAAGTCGTTACCAGACGCAGGTATCAATTTCGGATGAGATCAAAAATATGCCTTTGAAAGATTAATAGAGGATAGCATCTACGTCATTGAAAATATTTATTATTTGAAAAGCGAAATGTATGAGAGCATCGTTATTTTCGCTGCCAGCTTTATCACGGGCGACATTAATTTTATGGCCGTGAAATAGTCTTGGAAAAATGTCTAGTGGGAAATTGGACGCTGGCAACATTTCAAACTTGTCCATGTTGTTACCGCCCCTTTGTGACTCCTATTACCGTATCCAAGTGGGCTGGCTATTGGTCATTACAATAGCTACATCAGATGACTAATTACAATTTAATGGCATTTTGTGTACATATAGAATGGAAAATTTGGTTACAAATAAAAACTCAAGAACATTTAAAAGTAAATAAACATCGTTTTTAATTGCAATATTTAGAAGTTGCCAGATATAGTATGGCATTTGGAATTTAATTTGTATGTATCTAATCAATCTAAAATCGTATTAAAATTCTTCAATCAATCTATTTTGAAGCTGCCCTTTTCCTGTAACCACTACGTGATGAATGGGTTCCCGTTGCCAGAAGTAACATTCTAACATACTATTGAGTACTATCGATCTATTTTATGGAGTATTTCTTACAACTATTTATTGAAAACACCGGTTTCCTGTCACCGACATTGACTGGACTGACTGGCAAAAAGGGTATTCTGTCCAAAGTCTAAGACTACCAATTCTTTCTTAGCTATGTTCACATGTGAATCAGGTGTAGCATCGTGGACCGTCGCGTGCAAATGTTCGAAGAACAATCGTTTCGAGTAACTGTGATATTTAAAGTTAGAAATAATGAATAGTTAATTCACTACGTGCACGTTTCCAGGGGAGAATTTTTAATGTTGCTGTGGATTTCCACTGTCGAAACACTTGTACAGCAACAAACATATATGTTATCACAAAATGTGTTAAAACTGGGCTCAACTTTGGAAATTAAATTAACGTGGAATGTGTAACTGGCAAATAAGTAAAGAAAGAAAAAACCATTCAAAAATAGATGACCATCATCTACAATCGAATCAAATTTAAAAATAGAATTCGTTTATTATAATTTTAAACAAGACATTAATTAACGTTAAATCGAAGAGTACTAGAATGTTCGCTACTACTGGCAGATAAGAATTTTTATTTATAATATTTTTTTAAACACAGATACTACATAGATGTGAAGGAATGTTATACATAGATTGAATAACGTTCAGGTGTTTACAGGTGTGTTAGATTTCTATGTCGGCGCGTGGGCTGTTGCTAAAATAACACGTTAACCCTCGCAACTGTTGCTCAGAGAAGCTTCAGTGTTAGTCATGCTGTAGGCAGCTGGGCAGTCTGCGCCCACGTCATATCAAAATTTCACACACTACTTTTAGAGAACCACGAAAAGCATATCGCGAAACCTCAACCGCTTTGCTATCATTTCTAACCACACTTTTCACGTTTTGATAACGATCGTTCTAATTTTACATATTGTATATTTAATCACATATATTGTAAAGGAAATAAATAACCTATCCACACCTAATATTGTATTAGTGAATTTTAATCTAATATTCAAGATGACAATAATAATGCACATATGTCGTATTAGACGTAATTTTTTAAATTTAAAGCGAAAAACTTTATTGTTATTATATTTAAATTTATGATTAAAAATATATTATGGTTACCGAAATAAACTGGTAGAGTAATACTGCTATCAACTCGACCATTCATTTTAATAGAGTGCTGATAAGTCGACGTCTGCTATTTCAGCACGCCTCGCGTTGTATGAAACATAGTTCTAAAATTACCTGCCTACTGTATTCCTGTTTTTTGATGAGGCACGTTGCTACGCGCGTCTGAAACTGAATACTATATACATAGACTAAATGTGTTTCGAATCATACCAAAACCAATAACAGTATTTTAAAAAAAGTCTATAGATGGTCATAATGGCTTTGTATATACCATAATGTGGATAAATATGGAACTAGCAGAAATTGTAAAAGTAACCAATGTTCTTTTTAGCGTATAATTTAGATTTTTTATAGACTACCTTACGCCAGCAACTCCATTCGTACGGAATTAAGTATATTAAGTAGCCTATGTGTTCTTTCAGACTATCCTCTACATCTATGCCAAATTTCATCAAGATCCGTTCAGCAGTTTAGGCTACAAATTCTAACAAACATCAAACCATCCATCCAAACTTTCGCATTTATTAGTAACATTGGTTCTGCTCTTTTCCTATTAGTGTGATTTAGATTATACAATCATAAATACAGTTAAATTGATATTTTAAGTAAACAGATATAAAAATGAAGACATACTTCCTGCAGACATTGTGGTAACCCAAATGGACGCACAGCCGCTATTTCGGTATATCGCATCGCCGACTGCTATTCAAGATTTCTCGAAACATCATTTGTTAACTAATCGATTTCAGTGAAAACAGATGCTTTAAAATGAAATACGAGACAATATGTAAACACATAACTTAATTAGAACCCAGTGAGAGTTTGTTTTAAGTGTCTCATAAAGTGTAACATAGAGGCTATCCAAAAAACCAGACGGAATACACATTTACTAACGTCCAAAAAATAGCGATGGTCATAATCTGCGTAGAAGGAGTTATAAAAAGCAATTATACTATAACATTATAAATGCGAAAGTAGATGGATGTTTGTTAGAGTTGGTAGCTTAAACGGTTGAACTGATTTCGATGAAATTTGGTATAGATGTTGATAGTCTGGAAAAACACATAGCCGACTCACTTTTGTTTTTTTTAACTTCACGCGGACGAAGTCGCGAACGAAAAATAGTACTTAATAATATAAAGTTACGTAAGAAGTTATTTATTCAGTCGTCAGTAGGCGGACAGGTATGAATTCAAATAACTAAATATTTGCAGAAACGAAACTCGTAAGTGTATTCCACGTGTAAATGTAAACGACTTTAAAATTTTCTTTTTCAGATCCCACCTGAGCGCCCACTCGAGAAATAATGCCAACTTGCAAAAGAAAAGTTAATAAACAAAAAATCACGAAATTCCACTTTTTATTATCGTGGCTAAATTAATGCTGAAAATCTAGTTTTTTTTTTGTGTTTTATAGCGATTTTTTTGGAATGTATGTAAAATCTTTCAAAATTTAGATTTGAACATTTTTATTAGGTATAATATAATAACATTCGTAATGAGTAATTGTTAATTGTGGGAGTCAATAGCAAAATATACAGCACCATTCTTAATCATATGCGATAACGCCATAATTATATAGCATTAAGTAGTTTTAATGTACCTTTCATAAAAAACAATAATTTTCATTATTTCTGCTTTTACCAAGTAGGTATACTTACGTGCCCAAAGTTCGTTGACAGCATCCAGCGAGCGGCGCGGCCGACGTTGGTGGGCACCGAGATTCCCAGCACTTGCGTCATCTGAAATTTAAAATTTCCCGCTTAAACATAAGCTTCGAGTATTGTCTTGGCCGGAAACCGTGCCAAGAACGAAAAAATACCAACGCTCGAAGGAATTCGATTCTAGAAAATATAAAATGAAAGGAATTTTCAATGATAAAATATTTATGGCCTTTAGATATTCGAAAGACGAGGACGTCATGGTTCTTTTCTTACTTAACGGTAAGTGTAACATCGACATATTTATGAATTTCAGGTCGACAAGGTAAAAAGCGGATAACTAAAGAAGTGGGGAAAAGGACAGTAAAACGTGATGATGCGAATTTCCAAGTCACCAATTCGTTTTTAAATAACTGTTTATTGTTCAATACATATCTTTATACACACAGTGCTAATAATAAAAAAGACTTTCTAATATAACAGATACATACGAACATTAATCGAACATATATCGTTTCAAATACATCTGTTATACAGTTAACGAGATATCAGGAAAGAGGGCAGGGTATTTTCCGACCAGGAATTGCATCAGCGAGGACTATTTTAAGATTCCGATGTGAACAGAACTCTGTTACAAAACGTAAACTGTGCATTTTATCGTTAGCTGTAGTACTCAATGTAAATAATAATTTAAAAGGAATTTATTTATTACCATATGATGAACTGATATTAAAGCACTGTCTGCCATTCAAAACGTAAACAATGTAGGTAATATCGACTCAATTTACACATAACAATAGCCCACCAATCATATCAAAATAGTTTATTTTTGTTTAAACTTATGTGTTATCCTTGTGATAATAACGAAGCTAGAATCGATTTTAAAACTATGCGTTCACAATTTAGCAACAGAAATAGTTACCTCAGAGCTTCAGTAGATTAAAATGTACATAAAACAACGAAAAAACAACGAACACACGGGAAAAAGAATACGCGTCTAACAATAACTTTAAAGCAATTCATTTTGTTAAACTACCCACATCTGTGTTTTTAATTCGAAGAAATTTCTGTCCCGGAAGTCGTTTATTCTTGAAATATTAACTATGCTGTTTTGTGTCGTCGTCTGTATATGAAATAACATCAAAAACGCTTCACGTTTTATTTCAAAACTTTTTCGTCAATTCGTTTTGATGCTTATTTATTATCTGTGCAAATAAGAATTAGGTTCGTATTAAAAAACAATTCTTAATAACACAAAGGAAGTATTTTCGTGAAATCAGCTTAAATCAGCCATTTTGTATGCGGTAAGTAATCGTCTATACTAATATTATAAAGAGGAAAACTTTGTATACAATAAAATTAGTTCTAAATCTAAAGCTACAGCTAATTTCAATTTTTAAATCATGTGCAAAAATAGTCCGAATTAATCATCTTGATATTTTATTTTCGTTCAATCTATTTTGGCTGTAAGCATGTAATTCGATGACTTTGTTTATATCTGTACTTTGGCTCACGCTTTGGAATAACAAAGCGAATCAAACGTATTGCAATATTATATCAAGCATGCATGTTGAATCTAAAGAGTTTCCACTGCCGAAACAACCATACAAAAATATGTTATCATTATTTTTTTAAAGAAATAGATTAACTATGTCTGTGTGTTAGAAATGATAACCACAGATAATATTAAAAACGATCATGTTTGTTGCAGAAAATCAAATCGAATGATGCAAAGCTATTAAATCTTATGTGTGGGTGTAGTAGACGCAATAATTAATATGTAATTTGTATATCCTTTTATATACCTACTTACTGCTATAGATTTTTAATTACGAAATTTTGACAATATTTCTCCGGGTTCTACGCGTATGGTTTACTCGTGCGTGTTATTTTATGGTTCGATCGTTGTTCAATGGATCGTTCCATAAAAAACAAACTCTTCTAAGGCGAAGTGCTACTCTAAAATGGCATTCCTGAAAAATGCTCTGTACAACTATATGCGTAGAAGCCGTGTATTATACTGTTAAATTAAAAACGTATTATAATTGTGAACGTTTATTAAATGGTTTAAAATGATTAGAGTGCAGTATAAAATTTAATTAAGGTCATATATTAGTTGAACCCAGAGGCGGCATTCGTTCTGGAATCACAGTCACAGCTATATTTAACAAAATCTCCAACGAGTTCCCGTAGCCGGCGTCCAGCAGAAATGGCGGTCTCATTTATTTATAGTTCTAAGAAATATCATTATAATAATATTCCTAAAATACTTATAAGAAGCTTACAAACATAGATTATAAGCATCTATGTTCAGGTGAAATTTTTATGTATGTATTTCAAGATAAATTAAATTAAAAATGTCTAAAACTTTAAAAAATTCATTTATAAAATAAAACTCACTTTCCGTTTGTCATTAAAGAAACCTGATTTTTTTTCAATAAAATTAAAACAGGAGTATAACTAAAACGACATGCTCAGAAGAATCGTTATAAATGAAATCGAAAAAAATATTAACATAACACCATTAAACAATTAAAGATTATTTTTGTGTACTCATTTAAATAAATCAAAATGTAATATGACTGACCTTTCAGTGCATCCAGATCAACAGTTCCATCTCGTGGCAGAATTTTAAAACATTATTTGTAAATTAACCCCATCTTTCGACTGGAGTATGAAACAAGACAATTTAAAGAAAATTGCGCCATGTTGGAATTACAGTGCTGAAGGCTCCACGGCTCGACGCTGACTAAACTTTTACAGGCTTCAATGTTAACGAATTTATTAATAGCCTGCGATGAAATCAAGAAGCGGCGGCTGAAACCTATTTTGAAGATTCGCGTAACGGCGTTACACGATTCTGAGAAACGATCGTGTGCAAAGATAACGGCGTTTGGTTGGTCGTTATTTCCGTTGCTCGTTATTTTCGTTAGTCGTTAACCCTGGGAATCGAGACTATTACGGTCGCCAGATGGCGGGCCTTATATTTGGTATTTGGTTATATTTCTTAACGAATATGTATCACTAGCAAGAATGTGTAAAAATATTAAACAACCAAGATAAAATGTAATTCAAATTACCTCTTCTAATCAAAATAATATAGTTAGGACAATTGTGGTGAATGACATCATTAACATTAATATCAGCTTCATGTGTTATTTAAATAAAACAATTATTTTTAATTACTGCATCGTGACGTTTTACTTTAACATGCTTTTTACTTACATACTTTATTAATAATCTAGAAGTAATACTTCGGATTGAATTTGACGAACTAGTTTCAGAATATTCACAAAATAAATCTACTTACGGAACTGGGCCATCATAAATTCCACTAATACGGAGTTGCTGCTATGATATCAGAAAATAAAACCGATTAAATATAAATTTTGGTGTACGAGCACATTTATGAACCTTGCTGAAATTAGTTTCAAATACGATAGCCTTTGTCTTTAGATGGAAGTATGTATGATCAGGTGTCTGTAATTAATAGAATTATTTCATAAATAAAATTGGTAACGATATGATATGGTGACTCATGTCAATGATTATTGACTACTGTTAAAGAAATTATACGTTTTTAAATCTCGTTTTCACCCTAAAATATATTTTTTAATTATTGGTTTCTTGTTAGTGAATTAAAACAAAATACCCTGCCATCTTTCGCAAATATTTAGAACTACATTTTGACAGTGTTTTAATTTTTTTTTTAATTTACCGAAAGATGGAGCTAGCAGTTAGAAGATTTGTTTCACTAATTTAAAAACATAGGTTTAAAGCTTTTAAATGTCTGGTACACTGTCGCTTTTATAATAATTATCTCTTTATAAAAATAAATTAAGAAATAGATACTTAGTTAATATAAGGTTAAGGATACTGATACTCTCTCTAGTTTCATCTTAATTTAACTTTTTATGATAGGTAGAATATTCGAAAAATTACCTTTCGAGCAAGATATGCTCCATTCATGCCTTCTTAAGAACTTTGTATATTAAAACGACATACGATTCAATAAGATTTTCATCTATAAATCACTGATCGTTAATCTCGGGGATCTTCCCGTGAGATCGCCAACATCGCCTGTCCTGCGCCGCATTTCCACATAATTTTATAAAAAGAACCTTCTCTAATGTTTTAGAAGAAAGTTTATAGCATGAAATCTTTCTTTGCCAAAAATAAATTTTGTTATAATTTACATGTTAAATCAACTTAACGTGATGTTACATTGCAAATTTTCTTGTAAATATTTTGCTATTTTGCCAGTTTTCAATATGTACTCGTCACATTGCCTAAAATTATAAAATATTTATTTACTACTGAGCAATAACAATGCATTCGATCTTGTAGTGTTTTTATCTAACGAATAACAGAGAAGGATTTTCAATGCCTTTATACAATTTGTTTCTCTACGTAGGTATTAGGTATTTTCAGTTTTCATTTTACACACTAGTTATAAAGTTAAGAACGTTTTAAGTGTGTATATTGGTTTAATGACAGTTTTTTTTCTCATTTGTTAATTATTGTACTCGCTTTACTATGAGAACAACATAATGATTAACATCGCAATATAAAATGTTGACCAGTTAACAAGTGACCAGGGAATAATATCTTTGTCATGTTTAATTAGGATACATTTAAGTTATTTGTTGATATTGTATAATAGAATTTTGATGGTTTACTTTGTTCTGCCA